TTAGGTCATTTCAGTAGATCCTTTTAAAAGGTTCATCAGCTTGCAATCAGTTATGCTAAAAGACATTTGCAAACAGTGGAAATATAAATGCTGTAACTTAAGCATATACTCTTTTAAAAAGAAAAATTTCTAAATTATACTTATTATAAATGTCATTAAAATTTAATTGAGATAAAATGGAGCATTTTTAACTTACAGGATTTTTGTTCAAGTTAATGAATTTTGCAAAGTGCTACTATATACTTATTTAATTTTTAGAAATAAGTGTATATAATGTTTGAAAGAAAAAGATTGAGGAAGATTCTAAAATGGGACTAGATTTAAAAAATGGTAGATAAAATGTTCAGGTACCAATTTAATTGTAGAAGAGGAGCAAGTTGATATATAGATGTTATAAAATGTAGGCCAAATGGTACTTCTGAAATGCATTTTTATGTTTGGAACTTGAGAGCCATCATGCATCAGTTTAGGTGTTTGTCTACGCTACAGCACTTTGAAGGGGTTGAGAGTACTGACTGGAATAACCTGGAAGCCTTAGTTGAATCGTAGCCGTGCCAAGTTAAGTTTCCCTTAATAATAAATTCTACTCAGAATCTTGTCTGAATTATGGTTAAATGCATAAAATAATCAGATTGCTAAGGTTTTGAGATTAATTTGTTTATACGCAAGAGAAATGTGCTTATGAAATATGCCACTTATTCATTAGGTATCTGAATTTTATAAAAGTGCTTTGTCTTCTTCTAAATATATTAATGATAATAATTTCCCCATAAACTGCAGATGGTTAGTAAAATCTAGCATACTTTCTGCTGAATTTGTTTCATTTCATTCTTGTCATATATGCTTTTTAGGTCCTTATATTTTTTATTTTGAAGTAATCAGTATTGAATGTTTTTTGTGATTTGGATTGCTTAAGCTTTCTGATCTGTACTTAGTACTGAACTGTTTATGGGCTCATACTTTCCAATAGCTAAAGCATATAAATTTACTACTTTTTGTATTGATTTAATATTAATGTTAATATAAAAATCTAGAGGTGCAGTATGTCACATCTGTTTTGTATTCCTCTGTTTAAAAGAAATGGCACTATGGTATTTGGAAGAATATTTATTATCTGAGTGTTTTTCTTTGCAACAATTTTCCTCAGTCTATTGGGAATTGAAACTTCTGAGAGACAGTGAATCACCCAGCAAATTGTCAAGTACACAACTGCTGAAGGGCCACAGTTAATTAGAATTTTAATTTACCATTTAATTTACATTTGGTTAAGTAGTTGTAACTTTGAAAACGTTAAAAAATAAATTAATGATACGATAAAGAGAAGGGAAACAAACCCTAGACATCCTTTTCTCTTAATAATTCTTCTAGTCGGCATGTCATGGTACTTTTTTCCCCCTTTAAATAAGGTTTTGTCAAGCTGAGTGTTGACTTGCATTTTGAGACTGTATTTTTCGTTCCTGGTGACTAAATATCCTTATCCTGCCATGAGATTCCTTTACCTTTGAGGAGTGACATTGATTCCACTAATGGATAGATATTATAACCTCTGTTCCTTGGGAAAAAATATATAACACTAACATTTTTGCATATTTCTTAAGTCCTGTCACTCCCTATCCAGATGTCTGAAGGTCCCAAGTTAAAAAGAACTGCTGTAATGGAACTGAAAAATCACTTCTAGTATTATAATTTTAGCATTATATTCATTCCTCACATGAAGAGTTATCTCACCTTTAGTTTTATTTGACATTGAGTTTTCTTCTTGATCATTATAGAGTTGAAGATAAGCATAATCTGAATTCTGTTTTGGAGAATGGCACAATTACCTTTTCATGTCACTGCCACTCACTAAACTTGGGAACTGTTTGACCTTCTAAGGCTTTAGATTCTACCTTAAATGGATGAAAAAACAAAATTCATTTTGCCATTTGATCTAAAAATGAGAGCCATGGAAGAGAGAAATAAATGTTTAAGGATCTGTTCTTTCACAACAGTAGTTTTCTTAAGACTTTACATTTGTTGTTTATCAGAGAATAACAGTTGCTCATTTTTTAAAATTTATTATTAATTTCAATGAAAATCTACAGAGACTTTGGATTTCCATTCATTCACTGTTGCAGTTTTCTCTCCTTCCAACCCTCCCCCCTAGTACACTCTTGGAAAAGTAAAAGTAAAATTCTTTCATTGTTTTACAAACCCTCCCCCAGGTCCACTCCACTATGCAGCCTTCGCTATGGACTCCTGTCATGACAAAAATACCTAATCACATATCCCTTTTATACAGTTTTCTCCCTCATCTGTTTCAATGCAGTATACATTATTGAACCCATTTTTCTCAGTCTCCCTCCAACCCCAAGGCTAGTCCTGTTTTACAACAATAGCACCATGCAGTATTTGTCCTTTTGTGACTGAGATACTTCACTCAGCATAATGTCCTCCAGGGTCACCCATTTTGAATAATATTCCATGAACTCCTTGTTTTACAAGGCAGCATAGTATTCCATTGTGTGAATATACCACAGCTTCTCTATCCATTCCTTTGTTGATGGGCACTTAGGTTGTTTCCATCTCCTAGCTATTGTGAACAAAGCAATAAATATGGGTGTGCATATATCTGCTTGGATGTCAGTTATCGGGTATATTCCCAGTAGTGGAAGTGCTGGGTCAAATGGTATCTCTATTTGCAACTTTTTGAGAAAGCGCCATACCGCCTTCCACAGTGGTTGTACCATTTTACACTCCCACCAACGGTGAATAAGGGTTCCAGTTTCTCCACAACCCCATCAGCATTTGTTGCTTGCTGTTCTGTTAAATTTTACTGTTCTTACTGGGGTGAGATGATAGCTCATAGTTGTTTTGATTTGCATCTCTCTTTGAGCTAGGGATTTTGAACATTTCTTCATATGCTTGTTAGCCATCTGAATGTCTTCTTTGGTGAAGTGTCTATTCATATCCTGTGCCTATTTTTCTATTGGATTATTTACCTTTATCTTGTTGTGGTGACAGGTTCTCATTTTAATGAGAGAGATTGTAAAGAATAGGAAAAGAGGGAGGTTTCTAAGAGTGGATTAAATCATCACTTCTTGAGGTGTTTCTGCTTTTGAATCTTGGCACTTTGATAGTCAAGTGGTAGAGAGCCATAGGTATTGTGTGTACTTAACGTGGATGGTATTCCTTTGCGTGCCTTGTCAGAAGGATTTGTAATTTTTAAATTGTTTGGTAAATTGTACAAATATCAAACACCACACAAATGATATAATTCAGATGATGCTTTGAATAAATGATTAAATGAAATTATTTGATACTGCCTGGAATGAAAGGCAATAAGTTCACTTAAAGGATGATTTTAGACCCTGCTGAGAAGAAATGAGATGATTTTCTGTTTCATTCCTGTCCTTTTCATGTTGTGATTGTTAATTATTTTTGGGCAATAATGATAATGGAAATCTTTATGGCTTTGGTTTTCATGTATTTTTACATGCATACATATCCACAGAATAGGTTCATGTGCTTTTGATTCCTTAGAGTGATTTGCTCAGATGGGAATCATAAGTGTTTAGCCAATAATAGGTTAAAAAGTTTCAAGAAGCTAAGTACATTCTGCTTAATTTTGAATTTCACGCCATGGGCCATTGTGCATTGTGCTCACCACCAGTCTGTCTCTTGTTACCTGTGACAGAAGAGAAAATAACTGAGTTCATCCATCATAAACTTAAGACTGGCCCAATTAGCAGTATCGTGATAGATGTTGAAGATATTGAAATTGTTAACAATTTCAGCTTGCTCTTTTCCACAATCAGTACTCTTGGCACCAGCAGTCAGGAAATCAAGACTAATTGCATTGGGGAAATCTGCTGTCAGGAACCTCTTCAGAGTACTGAAAAGCAGTGAGGTTAGTCTAGAGACTAAGCTGCACTTGATCCAAACCTTGGTCTTCGCAATTACTTGCAGTACATTGGAGAGCTGGACAGTGACCAAGGATAACAGAAGAATTATTGATGGTTTTGAGTTGTGGTGTTGGAGAAGAATATTGAGCATATCATCAACCACCAAGAAGAACTAACAAGTCTGTCTTTTAAGAGGGTGAAACAAAGCTGTTCCTTGGAGGCAAGAATTTTGAGACTCCATCTCACATACTTTGAGCATGTAGCCAGGAGGAACCAGACTTTGGAGAAGGACATCATGCTTGAAACTGTCAAAAGAGAGTGCAGGAAAAGAAGACCTTGGATGAGATGGATTGACACAGTAACTGGGGTAATGAAGGTAGGTGTGTCAGAGTGAGGTTGGTTCAGCATAGAACAGGATCAGAGCTATCGTGCATAGGGTCACTATGAGTCAAAGTCAACTCATTGATGCATGACAACACCATTTACTGTGTGAAGCAAACAAACCTTACTTTGTGGCTGATAGGTGCATGCAGTCTATTCCCACTTACAACTACTCTATGTATAACAAAAGGAAAGCTGCTGAACATGTACCCTCCTCACACGTAAGCCTACTGTTGTAACCACTTTGCTATTCATAACAAGTTCAGTGTCTCATTGCTCGGATATGGCTCATCAGGCCTTCTCCATGGTTTGTCTTAGTGTGGAAGCTCTGCTGGATCACCCTGGTGGTCTTTAAAATACTAGTGGTATGGTATGGCTCCTAGCATCATACAAACTACCATACTATGACAGATGGAAAGATGAATGGTAGAAATATTGCTTAAT